TAACGCAAGCGCACTAGTCACACAAGACGAACACTAACCTGGACAACCATAAAGCTCCAATTTCAAAGCTATTTTGCCTGTATGCACCAAGGGTACTATTCGTACAGATCGAACCTTAGCGGGGTCACTGAGCTGGTTTGTGACAATTGTAGTTGCGTCATAATTCGCAATGAAATCCTAAAATCAGTAAAGATGAATTATATAGGACGCATGCAGTAAAACCATGAAATAAAAACAAAGTTGATACTGGCAAATAGTAGCTATTTAGTGACTAATAGTTGCTGTCACCCAACCAGAACATTCATTATGCAAAAGACAAATACACAAGAGACCATTTGTGTCTTTTGTGCAAAGAGTGTTCTGGTTGAGTGATACAAACTATCAGTTACTAAATAGCTACTATTTGTCAATATCAACTTTGTTTTTATTTCATGGTTTTTCTGCATGCGCTTTATTTGTGTATAGTATACTCGAAAGCGTATCTAGCATCTTGTAAAGGGTAAGGGGTACTATTGGTCACTGAGGAGGAAAGACAAGTTCATCTGTGTTGGATACAGCTGAACATTCCAACCTGTTAAGTAAAGAGTGCACAACTTAAACAATACGAACACTTTGAAGTTTCACGAACCTTCACTGGAATGCATAAATATTTCAAATAATTTCATACGAAATCGCCGGAGGCTAATCCTGTTCACTAGAGAACTCGAAACTGGAGTATTGATCAACTGGTTTCACATAGAATGCCAAATGTCTCCCTACACAACTACATAGAAACCCCATAGAGTTGATAAATTCTATCAAGGCCATTCACCGCTTGAATGAGATTCCTTATATTTCATCCACAATGATGCGCTTTTATTTAGGAGTAAGTAAAACGATGATACTCAGGGGTGCTTACCATATAAACCAAACCATCCGGTTTGAAATTCATTTGCTAGTGGTAAGAAAAGAGCTGGAAACTTTGACTTCAGAAAAATGGTACAAGCGTCTACCGAAAGAACCGAAATGAGCGGGAAAAGTGGATTGCGTCAATCGCAAGACCGAGTTTTCCGGAACTTTCCGATTGTAATGATGCATACCATGTATTTTCCAAGCAGAATATCTGGTTTTTCCGGGTAAATAGTAAGCACCCTAGGTCTCTCTATTTTTCACCCCGACCCCCGCAATTTTTCACCCAAACCCCTCCCCCTCCCTGGATAAATTTTCAATGGTCTGTTCTATATAAAGCATACCTTATCGATAAAACCTTCTCTGTGAAGTCTCCAAGCTATTCCACCAAAGCTATACCAAAGCTGGAAGCTCTTCACCCAATGGTTTTCCCCATTCAGCGTACCGCCCTTAGTACCTATAGCTGTCAAGAAAACGATTTCTTGAATATCAACTTGTAGATATGGACCCACGTCGTCGGGACTAGGACTCCAAAATGGGTTTTTGTCTTTAAACCTTGCAGAACGGGCACGATAGCTGTTTTGCAGCTCACTTGAAGCAGAGAGCATTGTTTTCTTTACTAAAGGCCTGTTGCACCCTGTTGGAGATTACAATAAAATAGAAATAAGAAGTAATCTATAAAAATCATTTTTTTCGAATTTAACCCCAATATCTCCTAAGATCGAATTGAAATTTAGAAGTTGATTTTTGTGGAGGGAGCTGAAAACCGGAGAACCCGGAGAAAAACCCTCAAAGCACAGGAGAGAACTAGCAAACATCTCGCTGCTCACATACGACACCTTTTCCGGCAGGACTCGAACCCGGGTCGCATTCGGGTGAGAGGCGAGAAGCATTAGCTATAGCGTCGGCGCACGTCTCCCGTGCTTCCCAATTAATAAGGTGTCGGTTTCGTTGCAGTTGAGTTAAGTTTGGGACTGACCATTAGATTTTTGAGGGGGGAGGGGTAGTTGATCAACTTATCTTGTGCTTGAATTTTTTTTACGCCTCATGGCTGTGCAGAAATTTTTTTTGGACATAATTTGACATTTTTTTTCTGGCACTTTCCTGGCACTTTCCACACAGATTCAAGCTAGGAACCTGCCTTTTTGATTACAATATATGGGTGATTTCATAAATCTAAGAAATAGATTTTGGAATATATTTTGTAATTCTTATAAATAAATAAGTAAATTTCATAGGTTTGGGGACATTTTCTTTATTTTTTACATATCAAAATATTTTTAGAATTATCAAAGCTAAAAAGAAATTTATTCGTATGTTGCTATTTTCGCAACATATTCTTCGATTGCACGTTACGTCATCGCGGCCATGTTGGTGCCATTTAACAAAAGATTTCTTATTAGTATCCATTGTTAACGGCACCACAATGGCCGCCATGCTTTTGTCTTTTAACTCTCTTGAGAATGCTTGCAATCCATCAATAGTAAATTCAATTAGGCCTATAGGGCAAACGTCGAACTTTCCATGCACCGAACTCATTAAAAACAAT